ATTTTACGGATTGGGCAAAAATCATTAGCTCGGAGGCTACATACACACCAACGTCTCCACGATGCTTGGGGCAGAGGGCTCGGTGCCCAGGAAAGTCAGCTTCCTTTCATACTCCCGACCACCCCACCCTCAGCAAACGAAGCTAAAAGGTCAGATTTGCCCTGTTCCTACTGACCAGATGTCAGGGGCCCGGACTTTCCTATTTCCCACTTACCCCAAAACAACTGTCTAGCCCCCATCCCACCAACCTTCAAAACCCAGCGGTCTCAGGAAGCCACCCCTCAGTCCCTCTGCTCCCCTCTGAGCTCAAAGCCACCCTCTCCCTCCTTAGCATGAAAACACAAGGATGCTCATGAAAAATGAGCACAGGACTAGGGCATATAAACAACCAAGGGTCCAAACTGGTTAAATAAGCGATGGAACATCCACAGAATATTAGGTGGCCATTAAAAATCATGTTTCCGTGGACGATTTAACAAAAATGCACCCAGCAAAATATTAACTAGAGTATAGCCACTTTAAAATATATTCCTGGGGCATGGGGGTGGCTCAGTCGGTTGAGCATCCAACTCTCGATTCTGGCTCAGGTCATGATCCCAGGGTCATGGATCCCTGCTGAGTGTGGAGCCTGCTTAAGATAATCTCTCCCACTCCCTCTGCCCCTCCCCTGCTTGTACCCACAGGCGCACTCTCTAGAAAAATATATATATATATTCCCAATTGTGTAAAAATAGTCACCCTCATGTATATTATATATATAGTAGGGAAAATAGAATGACACCGAAATATACACAGAGGCTATGTCTTAATGGTGGGATTAAAAGTGATTTTTAAAGTTCTTTATGTTTTTCCAAGTTCCGAAATTTTGCCTTAAACATTATAATAATCAGAATTAGATTTCTTAAGCGGAATCCTAAATATTTGCTAGGCCTAATCCCCCCTTCTGTTCTTGCCAAAATGTCACCTGACCTCTGCTTGAACTCCTCCAGAGACGGAGAACTCGCTACCTTTCTTCCCCATGAGAAGTAGAATCTGGCTTCCTTTAGCTTCCCCTCACTGGTCACAATTCTGCCTTCTGGAACAACAGAGAACAAGGCTGCTCCCCAAGCCCCCTTGGCAACGCTTCAGAGGGTTGGAGGTAACGGCCAGGCTCCAGGCTTCATTGCCCCAATCCCCAAAGCCTTCCAAGGACATTCATGTTCCCCTGTCTCTCACATCCCTGTTTGCTTTCTTCGGGTCCAACCCAGGCAGTGATGTCCTTAAAGTATAACTGGGTCTCCCTTTTGACATTATGCACACGCCCTCTTATCAACAGCGCACTACTTGCCAGCCCGTGTATCAGGGACTCTCCTGCGTGCATTCTTTCATCTAATCTCTAGAACAACCCTATGACCTGGCAGCTAATCTCATGCCTATCTTACAGATGGAGAAACCGAGGCACGAAGAAGCCACGTCCTTTCCACGGTCACTTCATGGACCTGCGACAGAGCCAGGACTGAAGCAGCACCTAGCCCAGAGCCTGCTGTGCCGAGGGAAGAAAACAATGTGTGAACCCAGCTCTAAAGCCCACACCCTTAGCGTCCATGGTTTTGTTTCGGAATTATTTATGCCTAGGCCTGGGCTCTTCCACGTCAATCACTTCTGCAGCCCTCCCTCTCTCTCTCTCTCCTGGCCTGCTACCCGGAAGGGTTCATGAAGTGCTCCTGAAAAACACCCATTGAGGACCCAGCTGTGGGAGCAGGACCAAGTGAGTTCTCTGACACTCTAGTCAGGGCTGAGGTGCCGGGGCCAGAGCCAAAGCCCGGGGCACTGGGCAGTTCTGACATCATGCCAGGCACACACACAGGGGGGCCACCGCGAGGCACTGGGAGCCCCTCCCCACCCCTGGCAAGCTACCGGGGATGGAAGGTCCCTCTGTACTCCCGTGTCACTTCTACAGGCAAGTCCATGGAAAATTTGTTTCCTTGGTCCCTCCCCTCTGTCCATCCTCTGCCCAAGGCCTCCTGGGGACATGACCACATCACCCATGGTCTCAGTCAAGATGGGTTTAGGAAGGACCACGTGGTGTAGATGGTTCCACAGCACCCAGCTGCCAGCGATCCCCACTCAGGCATTTGTCAGGATGTCAACTCGTCCCAATCAGTGGCTTAGCCTCAGGCCGGGTCTCTCAGCTAAGGCCACCAGGCACAGGAGACTACAGAACTCAGCAAACCCTCTCATCCCTGAACTTGGAAGGACAGAGAGGTCCTAGGGTCAAGCCCCTGTCCGTAGCCAGGGTAGTCCCCGCTGAAAGTTCCGGACTCATTCCTCGCCGCCTGTCGCCTCCACTCTCCCCAAGGAGCCCCACCATACTGGGCTCTCTCTGGTTCAGCCTTGGCTCAGGCTCTTCCCTCTGCCTCGACTGTAACTCCTCCCAAACCTTCAGCACTCAGTCAAGGCATCCCCACACCATCCTTTACCCCAATCCAAGGAGCCGTCCTGTATCTCTTGAGGCTGAAGGAGGTACTATTGTTGCACCCCAGGCTCACCCTGGCTTAGCCTGGCTCTTGTTTGCCCCCATTTGCTCACTCAAATATTTCCACAGCACCTGCTCTGTACCGGCGATGAGCATCAGGTGCGGCAAACCAAGCTCAGCTGCACAGCTTTATCCCCAGCCGGCTCTATGACTTTGGACACATCACACCTCTGTGAACCTTGGTGTCCTCACCTGTGGAGTGGTGAAGACCCTGCAGCTCAGCCTAGCTCCCAGGGCTTTTGCGAGGCCCGCAGGATGTGAGCGTGAGTACTCTGTCAACTGCCTCTAAGGGTGAGTCATCGTTGCCTCGATCTGACCCTTCTGTAGTCTGAGCTCATCTTTGCACCTCCCATCCTTAGAGCCCTGTGTCCCCCCAGGGGACTGACAGCCTGTGAGGATGGCCTTGGGAGCATCCTTGGATAAGACATTGGGCAGGAGCACAGCCTGGAGGGATGGAAACAGGCATGAACTTTAAACAGGACTGGCCTGTAAGTCCCGCCGCACAGGGGCAGGGGCCTGGCATTGCTGGGGCAGGGAAGGAAGGCCAGACTGCCCCGAGGCCACAGAGTGAAGGCTTTGATGCCAAAGGGCTTTGGAATCACTAAGAAGCCACATGAAGCACAGAGTTGGGGTGGGGACAAAGAGCACTGGACTAGGGGGCTGGATACCCGGGATCCGCTCTAAGTTACTCCTTCCCTTCTCCAGGCCTTAACCTCCCATCTGTGTACTGGGTATATCAGCCCAGGAGGTACCCAGGGCCCTTTCCCACTCGGATAGTCTGTGTGGACTTGACTTGCCCTTCAAAGCTTGGGGCGGGAGGGTCCAGTTCAGGCTGTACCAAGGACAGACAGGGACAGCTGGTAAGGCTCTCAGAAGGGCCAGGAGGCAAGGGAACCCATGCTCACTGTTGGAAGGGTCATGCCTAGACCAGGGCTCCTCTTCCAGTCTCCTTCTGTCCCTGCTTAGATGGAAATCACACTTGGCTCACTTTGCAGACTCAGATGCGGACACGGGTTCAGAGAACACGGACCCTCAGACCCTTAGAAGTCATCCCATTCATCTCTCTTCCTCTCCACGCAGAGGGAGAAACCGAGGCCCCGAGAGGACTGAGGGCTTGCTCGGGGATACACAGCCTGTTTATGGCAGAGCCAGAACTGACATCCACCTATCACCAGCTCATTCCAGTCGCAAGCCAGGCTCGGCTTTATCTGCCCACCATCCCTGTCAGCCAGCCCTCTGCTTCCACTGCTTCAGGCAAGCCTCAGTTTCCCTGTGGGAGTAAGGGAAGATGGGACTCTTTCTGGGTCAGAGCTTGGTGAGGTTTTTTGAACTAGGAATAAAGGAGGAGCAAGGAAAGTGGGAGAGGCATTGTACTTGGGGGGAAAACTCATCTTCCTGAACTAGAACTAGGCACAAGGCAGGGAAAGCTTGTCTGGCCTTAGCAAAGCAGGAGCAGAGAGCAGGGAGATTCATGTTTTATGAAAAATAACTACATTTTATGGCAGCTTGGAGCCTCTCAAGGTCTCCAGAGGCTCATCAAGTTTATGGGACCACCTGTCCCCACCTGGCAGAAGGGCAGGCAGTAGTAGGAAGAGAAGTTAGAACTTGAGGGTCCCCTCTTCCCTCTCTGTGCCCGGGGCTGTCCCCCCAAGGACAGTCCTCCGGCCCCAGGCTCTGACCTTCTGGGCTGGTCAGACCTCAAGGGGCAGCTGGGCCCACTGTCAGAAACCCGAGTCGAGTCTCCTGGGTCCTAACCCAGCTCCGAGGCCCCTCGGGGGAGGGACAGGAAGGAAAGGAAGGGCAGCAGCAGGCTGCAGATCTCCTCCCTCTTTGGCCCCTCCCAGCTACCCCCAGGACAGCCCACATGCACCGGCTTTGGGGCCTCGAGGAGGCTCCAGGCCGGCGCTTCTCAAACTTTAAAGCCTGTTGTGAGCACCCGGTATCTCGTTAAAAAAGTCAGGTTCTATTTTGGCAGGTCCGGGGCAGAGCCTGAGATTCTGCATTTCAAACAGGTCCCGGGTGGTGCCGCTGCTGTAAACCCATGGACCATTCTGCGAGGAGCGGCCTTAGAGATAATCTGCCTCCGAACGGTGGGAAAAGCGGAAGGCCCAGAGAGGTCAAGTCACTAGTCCGTGGCCACACAGCGAAGCTGCGCCCAGACCGAAGGAAGAGGGCACCTGCCACAGCACTAGACATTTCCCTACTCAGGCAGCCGGAATTAGCTGCGCTTCCCGGGCCCGGGGGCCGTGTGGCTAAACTCGGCTGCCCCGCGCGGCTCAGCCCGGGGCCGGGGGGTTGGTGGGGGAAAGAGCGTCGCCCGGCCGAGCTTTCCCCGCCTCCCTCCGCGCCGGCCTCTGGCCGTCCTCCGCCTGGCACCCCGGGGCGGGGACCCGCGGGGGGCCGGCGGCGCCGACAGTCCCTGCGGCGGAGCGGTTCCGCACCCTCCTCCCCTCCGAAGGCAAACTTCGCCGCCGGAGCCCTTTACCTTTTTGGGGGCTTTGCAGCAGCTCGGCCGGCTGTGTCCGCAGCCCATCCTCCTCCGGGGACTCCCGGACGCCGCCTGCCTGCTCCGGGGGCCCCGAGGACCCAGCCGCCCGGGCCCCGCCGCCCGCTGCGCGCCCGCCGGCCGGGGCTGCCGGCGAGACCCTGAAACTGAACCTGGAAGCGCAGACTTGAGTCGGAGCTGGGGCGGCCGCGCGCCGTAAATACCCGAAGAGCAGGGCCTCGGGGTTCACGGTGGCACCGCCCGCGGCAAGTGACCAGACTCTCCCTAAATGGTGACAACTTTGGGCCAGGGCAGAGAAGATCCCTATGAACAATGGATGTTTTCCCCGACCCTTGGCAGAGACAAGGCCAGGAAGAAAAATGAAAACAATGACTTAGTAAACACAACAGCTACCATTTACTGGGAGCTGGGTCTGCCCTGGCTACTTTGTACATATTACTTTATTTTTTCCCATCTCCTTGCCACGAAGGTATTATTCCTTCCACTTTACAGGTTACGAAGACGAGGATCGGAGACGTGATTTGCCTTAGCTCACAAAACTAGGAAGTACCAAGAGCCCAAATAAATTCCAGTTCTAACTCCTGAACCTAAGCTTCGAGCCACGTCCCTACAAATACATAATGATACTTTGTTCCGTGGTAATGCCTCGTCACTTCTGGGTCCATAGCTCTTTCCAGTTCACGAGCGTCTGTACTACTCTGTCCATCCTGGATAGATGTTGCCCATCACAACAACCTTGTGGAGCAGACGGGCAGATGCGGTGGGAATAAGGGACATCACATGTCAATGCCCGGGGAAAAGAACTTTTATTTACCCTCACTTTGTTACCAGCTGAGGTTTCTGGGAGTGGCAGTGCAGAAAAAGCACACCTAACTTTGAAACTCAGTGTGCATGTGTGTGTGTGTATTAGCAAATTATACAAGGCCCCGAGACACTTGGGGAGGTATGGCCACGTAAAAGGTGCTCGCGGTCGTGAGTGAGGAAAGAATATGAGACCACATATTCCCCCTCCACAGACTATAAGACCAATTGTAGCAGGCTCTAAGAAAGGAAACTAAAGACCCAGATGATATTAGGCTCATGGAAGGAAGAATAATATAAGACATGTGATTCACAAAATGTGGTCCCCAAATCAGCAGTGCCTGCAGTATCAGATATCTTAGTTAGAAATAGAAATTATCGGGGTGCTTGGGCGGCTGAGTCAGTTACGTGTGCCACTTCGGCTCAGGTCGCGATCTCGTGGCTGGTAAGACTGAGCCCCATATCCTGCTCTGCACTGACAGCATGCAGCCTGCTTGGGATTCTCTCTCTCTCTCTCTCTCTCTCTCTCTCTCTCTCTCTCTCTCCCCCTCTCTCTCTGCCCCTCCCCTGCTCATGCACGAGCATGCAAGGTTTTTGTTTGTTTGTTGTGTTGTGTTTTGCTTTGCAACCTGAGTTTGAATAAGGTTGGCTAATGGAATTTTCAGGGGTTGATGTACCAGTCAGGTTAGGTTAGGTTAGGTTCTACTGCGATAATGAAACACATAAGTTGCAGTGACTCACCACGAGTAAAGCTAAGTTTTGTTCACACTCCACGTCCAGCGTGGGGAGGCAGGGGGCCCTGCAGTACGCAGACATTCTGCACCGTCCTACGATGCAGTCATTTCAACCCTATGCCTTCAGGGTTCACCAGGGCAAGAGGAGAGCATATAGAAGGGAATGGTGCAAAGGGTCTTAAATGCTTCTGCTCAGAAGTGACACACCTGAAATCCACTCACATTTTATTGGCCAAAGCAAGTCACATAGTCATGCTCTGCTTCAAGGGGGCGGGAAAGTACAATACGTACCCGGAAGGAGAGAACCAGAAATACTGGCCAACAGCAGAAATGTCTACCGTAGTTACCAATCAATGAGCAGGTACGATGTGCCCTCTTCTTGGGCAAGTGGGGTGGCTCACTCATCCTGGTTTGCTCAGTGTTTCTGCACTTTTAGCTCTGAAGGTCCCGTGTCCCCTCAGTCCTGGGCCCACTGGGATATCGGTCACCTTTTGGACAAGGCATAGCGAACGCAAAGGGAAGAAGACTCAGGTCTTGTCCTTGAATTAGTTATAATCTGCTTTTTCTTTTTCTTACATTACACCCATACATAGAAAAAGAGGGAGAACAATAGAAAACAGGTGATAAAGCTAATGTTAAGTTGTGTACTCCTCGGGGAAATTATTAGGATTAAAGAAGGTAAGAGACTGTGGTGGGTAAGGAGAGGGAAGAGGAATTCCAGGAGGAATAGCACAGCCAAAGGACCTTCATGCTGAAAGGAATCCTAGAGTCCCAGGCCGGCTTCTGCTGCTTGCAACTAAGACAAACGTCTCTTACAATGTCCCTTGCAGGTGTTTGTGCAGTCTATGCTTTTGTACTTCCAGTGATGGGGAGACCACTACTTACCTTGCCATATGTAGAGGAAGAGGAGAGGCAGAGAGGAGCAACTACAGCGGGGGGGGGGGGGGTAGGGTAGAGTGTGGAGGTGGGGGAGTTGAGGAATGAGGAATTAGAGTTGGTGGCTGGGTTGTGTGTAGGGTTCAAAAGTCGGGGGACGAGGTGCGCTCTTTTGGGAAAGATTGGAAGGAAAAATATGGGGATTATCCTGAACATCTTTCATGAGAGAAGGACAGTATACCCACACAGAAAAAGTTTTGCATAGAATTTCAGGCAATTCAGGGGCGCCTGGGTGGCTCAGTGGGTTAAGCGACTGACTCTTGACTTCAGCTCAGGTCATGGTCCCAGGGGGGTGGGATCAAGCCCCCAGATTCTCTCTCTCTCCTTCTCTCTCTGCCCCTCCCCTGCTCACACACACACTCTCTCTCTCAAAATAAATAAACATTTAAAAAAAAAAAGGATTTCAAGTGATTCAGGGACCCCCTGAAGCCCCTGCAGTAAGGCTATGTGTGCATCTCAGGTTAAGAACCTTTTGAAGTTTATTCATTTTTCAGGGGGGAGCAGAACCCTACGTGGGGCTGGAACCCATGAACTATGAGACCATGACCTGAGCTGAAATCAAGAGTAGGACCCATTGAGCCACCCAGATGCCCCTCAGGTTAGGAACCTTTGAGCTCAGTGGCTGCTAAATGTCTTTAAGCTCTGAAAGCTTTTTTTGTTCAGGTTCTTCTGATTGAGCTCCGTTGGTCCCCAGACGTGTTGTCTGCCTGGAGTGCCTTCCTGCACCGTCCATCTCTGTGGGTTATAGTTTCACCTGAACATCAAGAAGCAGCTCAAATGCTGTCTCCTCCCGACAACCTTGTGGTACCTGTTCCACAGCTCTCTCAGCACACATGCAGTTTTCCTCCGAGTTCTAGTTTGTGTGCTAATGCACTGCAGGTTACATGGCTCCCGTCTCCTCCCTCCTTCCCCATCTGGAACTTTGTAGATCGTGGCAGAGACTCCCAGACACCTTACTCAACTTCCATTCTTCCTGCTTCCTTAATTACAGAATCATATTCTCTGGGTCAGCAACGTGTGGGCTAACAGGCTACTTACCCAGCTTCCCATGCATCTGGGGGTGACTGGTGATATGTCAAGGGAAATTACTGCTTGGGGCTTCCAGGAAAACTTCTAATAGGGAAATGACTCAGCTGGGAGGAGGGATCCCCCTTTTCCTGCCCAGAATACAGACATGATGGCCGACTTCCAGCAGCCATTTTATTACCCTGAGTAAAAAGATAGAACGAACCTGATCTCTGATGAATTTATCGAGCCCCCATACCAGCCTTGATCAACTACTTCCTAATTTTTTCACATAATAGAATAAACAACAACTTTGTTTAAGCCACTGCCATTGACATTTTGTCACTAGCAACAGAATGCAATTTGTAACCAATTCATAAGGTTTGTTACATTGAACTTAGAATATTTTCCTTTTGGAGACACTGTGTGTACCCTAGCTTCAGTTCTGGAGATAGGAAGTGAGGCTCTGCTGAGAAAAGTACCCTGGGCTTGCCAGACCTTTGATGGAAATGTTGGTTTTGATAGCTTCCTCTTGAAATTATGTATAAGAGAAAGAAATGGGAGGAAACCTAAAGTTGTTGAATCTTTAGGCTTTTTGTGGTTGTTAAGTAAGCTCTACCCCAAGGTGGTGATTGAACGCCTGACCCTGAGGACTAGTGTGTTCTACCGATAGAGCCAACCAGGTACCCCAAGTCCTTTGGCTTCAATTAGAGTGTTTCTCAAAGAATCATCTGGAGTCCTCCTCGTGGGTTCAAGCCCCGCATCAGCCTCTGAGCTGAAGGTGCAGAGACTGCTTGAAATTCTGTCTCTCCCTTGCTCTCTCTCTCCCTCAAAAATAAATAAACATTAAAAAAATTATGCTGAATTGTGTTGAACTAATTGATGGGGGAGTTTTTGGAAAGGAGAATGGAGCCTGGGTAATGCTAATTAGTGAAAAGCCACCCCTGCCTATCGTCCCAGGATACCCGTGGATTTGGGGCTGCCTTGGGAGAGGTGGCAGCCAAGATTCACTTCACCATTTTCTTTACCAAGAGTCGATGCACGTCAATAATCATTGGTTAGCATTTTATCTGTTCAATAGAGTTCAGATGGAAGTCTTTGAGGATCTCAATACGGTAATACAGAGTAGGAAAGGCACAATGTCACACGATGAGTTTCTCTAAGGAAAATTGTAGATCACTTCTTTAAGTGGGCTCTAGGTTCTGGAAATATTAGCAATGGACAGGGGTGGACATTTCTTTATATCAGTGGTTCTCAGGGATCAGCAGCATTCACATCTTTTGGGAAGTTGTTAGAAATTCTTCGGCCCCACCCCAGACCACCTGAATCAGAAATGCTGGCTGTGGGGCTCAGGCATCTGTGTTTTACAAATCCTCCAGGCAATTTGGATGTGTGCTTATATTTGAGTTGCTTGACCTTTATGTCCTCCTGATGTCTGACGGTGATTTTTTAACATGAGTTTGGAGGTGAGGTAGGAAGTGGGGTCCAGGGCTCAGTGAGTCTATGTGTGAGCCCGATTTTCCATGTTTGAGACATCCTTGGCTGGGCTGATGTCTAGGTCACCCCTACGTGTACTGCCCTCTCTGTGTGAAACACAAGGGACTGTGCTGTGGGTTCTGAACCAGGCCCATGTGAAACACAAGGGACTGTGCTGTGGGTTCTGAACCAGGCTCCGTGTGAAACACAAGGGACTGTGCTGTGGCTTCTGAGCCACCTTATATCTAGGAACTAAGACTGAGTCCTAGATAGGGTCGTCTGATGAGCGTTTGTTGATTTAAATGTAACTGAATGAGTGGGACTCCAACATTAGCTGGGGTCTTTCCAGATCAGAGATGAATAGTCACTTGCCTGGCTGCACCTAAGTCAGTAATTGGCCTGCCCCTCCTACGTGACCCCCTCATATCCCTTATCAGAGGACGGTTTGTACGTTCTGCGTGTTCTCAATTCCTTTCAGCTTCAGACATATTTACTGTACATCCTTGTTCACTGTATATGCTTGTTTCTAGCACTCTGCTTCATTCTTTATTTTTATTTATTTATTTTAGAGGGGGGATGCAAGTGAGTGAGGGGCAGAAGGAGAGAGAGAGAGAGAGAGAGAGAGAGAGAGAATATCCCACAAGGGGCAGAAAGAAAGGGGTGGCAGAGAGGCAGAGAGGCAGGACCCATCAGGACTCATATTTTTACCTGAAGCAGGGCTCCAGCTCACCTGAAACAGGGTTCATGCTCACCCCGTGTAGGACTGAAACTCAACAACCATGAGATCATGACCTGAGCTGAAGTCAGATGCTTAATGACTGAGCCACCCAGGTGCCCGGTTCTTTAATTTGAACAATGAAGACTTGTCCACCTATGTGTACTGCTATGTAATCACGATTTAAGCCACCCTTTCCTGACCGACAACTGCCCCATCCGTGCCCTTCTGCTCCTCCTAGCCCTGATGCTACCCTCCTTGCTCTGTTCCAGTGAGAGCATCTTCCCTGCAAGAAAGTAACTGGGATGAGAGTCAGAGAATGGTGAGGACGGACACTGAGCTTTCCAAGTCAAAGATTGGAACACACGATTTAACAAAGGAATTTGTGACGTCTGTATTTTGTATTGACCCGATTCTATTCATTCGTTTACACTTTGCCAACATATTGGAACTCCTGGGATACGAGGATTTATGGGGACAAGGAAGTCAAATACTGGTAAATGGGAGTGACCCAGAATATCTGAGAGGCATGATCTAGGTCCACGGCTTAAAGCTGAAATGCCCACAGGGCTGGGTAGGTACAGCAGTGGGGAGGGGGGGTGTCAACTGGAAATCACACAGCCACCTGCAGGGAGCGCCAATGGGTACGTGACAGCGGACGAGCATCAGGAGGGTCTGGCTTCCAAGTGTTCAAGAGAAACTAAGCCCCTGGATGGCTCAGTCAGGTAAGCATCTGACTCTTTTTTTTTTTTTTTTTAAATGTTTATCTATTTTTTGAGAGAGAGAGAGCAAGTGGGGGAAGGGCAGAGAGAGAGAGGGAGACAGAGGATCCAAAGCAGGCTCTTCACTGACAGCAGAGAGTCTGATGTGGGGCTCAACCCCACAAGCCATGAGATCATGACCGGAGCCCAAGACTGACACTTAACCGACGGAGGCCACCCAGGCGCCCC